GTCTGCTTGCTGTTGTTTTTAGTGTAATGCTAAAATCTCTGAATAGCTTGGTTCTTGGAAGCCCATTCAAGACAAAATAGCCAAGCTGTTCTTTATGGAAAGCATTTTAGCTCAGGTATACAATGAACTGTCTTGGTATTGTATTACTGTTTACAGAACAATAATAAAATTTAGATTTGTAAACCTGGTTTTCAAGCATTATCCTATTGTAATTAATGTATTAATGCCAGCAGGTACCAGCCACAAATCCATCAAGCAACCACTAATGCATTTTGTCTAGTAGAAAGTGAGAAAAAGAATTATCACCAAACTTTTCCCCGAAGTTTTTAGAATATATAAAAAAGAGAGTTCTGCCTTGCTAGAGAGAGAAAAAAATCATAACCTTCTCCAAAGTTTTATGTTATACAAGTAAGAGGAAAGAAAAAGAGCTGGATCTAACTTGGCATAAGGATTTTGATTGGATTTTCACATTGCATTAAACTATAAAGTATTTTGGCTTAACTAGATGAGTGAATCCATTCACAAAAAGCAGGATGATAGAATTGATATTTTATACAACACAATAAAGTAAATTGGGGTTGGATCTAAGAATGATGCCTGTGACTGAATTTCTTTCCACCTTATTTAGAGTTTGTAGCTGTAACTTTTGGTTAGTTTCCCAGAGTCCACTCTAGTCAGAGTTTTTAATCAGGTAAGAAATAGCAGGAAAGTAGCAGGAAAACTCTTAGGAGCTTTGCACATTGCGTGAAACTTTAATGTTCATTGGTTTATTGAAACTGTAATTCCAGCTACTGTGATTTAGAAACGATATATTGTATTTTACTATCTGTGATTGACTATCATATCTTGTTCAACAAACTATAGTTTAAAAACCATGGCTTTTCATTTAGAAGAATGATTTCCACTTAAAATGTCTGTTTGCATGAGTTTAGTGGTAAAGAACAGTGTTGGGATTGTACAGTTTTTCCCACTTCTGGTTTGGAAAATTACTGCATAGCTGCTCACAATTTATATCCAATTTGTATCATATCTATAATCAAGAACACATTTTTATTCTAGGCTTATAGCCCAGGTTATGTGCTTTTATATAGAATAACTGTTTACTAATTCTAGCAACCAATGGAACTTGCTTATAAACATGACTAAGGCCATAGATTTATCATATTTATGTGTGTGTCAGATTTTACTTAATGTATTTTAAAATATATGCAATTTGGCACAGGAATGAAAATCCTCTTTTAAATATATATTTGAATGTTATTATTCCATGTCTAGATTATAGACAGATTGTGGTTTCCTTTGGTGACTTTGCTATTAGAGCTAAAATGTTTAATGAATTCATTACCATAGTATATGTTTTACACATTTAGCATATGTAAAATATGTAAGCTAAATTTGTCTTATTTGAGTCAAAGAATGAGGACACCCAGGTACTAGTTATTCCATCAGTCCTCAGTGATTTTAGATCAATCCTTCTCTTACAGCCTTGCCTAATTCACAGGGTGGTCATTGTGGAAAAATTAAGCAGGAACACTAAGTATGTTGACTTAAGTTTCTGAATAAAAGGCAAGTTATAAATAAAAAATAAAAAATAAATATTGAAAGCAAAATGCTAGTACTGTAATGTACCTGCTATTCACAACTTTATCCTGAAAGATAACCCTTTTCTCTTCCTACATTTATTTCTTTGAACTTTGAACCAGGTGCTCTTTTTTCAAAGTAATCTTGTCTGTATTGTATGGAGATTAAAACAATACATTTAAGCTCTGCTATTTGATAGAATGCTAGACCTATTTGTCATTGTGGAAAAATGATTAAAGCAGCAGTAAGATTTCAGTTTTAAAAATCCTATGAAATGTTTTGAAATGCTGTTTGACTTCCCTCCACTATAGTCTGGACCAATGGTTGCCAACCTTTTTGGACCTCAGGGACCACTAATCTCATAATTTTAAATCCCGGGGATCACTAATATGAATTTTGACTGACGGTGGCTTGCTGACGTTGGTGGGAGAGAGAGAGAGAGAAATCTGATCTAACCTCTTCCCCCCCCCCCCATACATAAACACACACATACACACACACACACAAACACAGAGAGGCAGGAGTGGGATTCAAATTTCTTAACAACTGGTTCTTGGGCGTGGCCTAATTTGTGGGTGTGGCAGTCATGTGACTGGCTGGGCATGGCTTGCATGTAAATATTATAAATATTTATGTAAATATTGGATTTTTTATAAAAAAAGAACAACTTTTACCCAAAATCAGGCAAAGCAGGCAGGCAGATTGAGTTGCTCACAGAATCACAGATTCATTCAGAGATCTGTGTTTCTGCCATCGGCTATCTGAGTGTGCACTGAATAATAGAACCTTCAGTCCTAAGGGAGGATTGGCTGTGCTTAAAAGCAGAGCTGAAGATCTAAAGATTAGCTAGAAAGCAAGAAATCCAATGATTTCCTGCTTTCTAGCTAATCTAAATCTTCCGGCACAGGAGAACAGCTGATGGTCGGGGGAAAAAAAAAGGAAAAATAGCAACTTAGCAGGCAAGATTGCCAGGTAAGGAGTGAATGGGCAAGGAGGGTTCCTGTGGGCCATGTGGATGGTGCAGCCTTGTGTTCCTGCGCAGCCTGGATTAATTGCTTTGGGGGAGTGCTCTAGGGGTGACATTTCTCTGTGGACCACCAAAATTTTCTCACGGCCCACCAGTGGGCAGCAGCCCACAGGTTGGCAACCACTGGTCTGGACTAGAAGACTTTGAACATCACTAGATGAATCCTACCCACTGGATGTAGTATGACTTTATTCACAGTAAAGATGAATAGCAGTGGGAGGTAAGTTGAATAGATCAGTCCCGAGACAGAATTGAGATGGACTCGTGCTACCTCATGAAAAACATCTAAATATGAAATAATTTCCAAAGCTAGACAGTAGGACAAACATTCAGATGTAAGTTTTACATATATATAACAACAGAAGCAGGAATGAGAGTCACTCGCAACGCATTGCTCTGGGCAGTGGTGGGATTCAAATTTTTTTTACTACCGGTTCTGTGAGCGTGGCTTGGCTTGGTGGGCATGGCAGAGGAAGGATACTGAAAAATCCACATTCCCTCCCCACTCCACTAACCTGATTTCCAGCTTTATTCTCCTGTGCAGGGCAACAAAAGAAGGCCCAGCCGATCAGCTGAGACTCGGGAGGCAGAAAATAAATGGGGCCAGGGCCAGTCAGAGGTGGTATTTGCCGGTTCTCCGAACTACTCAAAATTTTCAGAACCTGCTGAATACTACCTCTGGATCTGTGGCTTTAATATCTTTACATTTGTTTGTGGAGGGAACCAGGAAGCAGCAGATAAAGGAAATCAGGATGCAGTATACCATATTCCAAGAGCTAAGTACTATTAAAATGGTAGGAAGTAATGAAAAAGGTGAACTGCCTCACCCTGCCTCCTGTTTTTTAGCATTTCAGCTTTTCTGCAAAGCTGGGAGAACTTCAGTGTTCTACTTAGTAAAACCAAAATTGCTATGATAGGTTATCACTCAGACCAACAGAGGATTTTATTGGCTTCAAATCAGAGGTGGTATTCAGCAGGTTCTGACCAGTTCTGGAGAACCCGTAGCAGCAATTTTGAGTAGTTCGGAGAACTGACTGGCCCCACCCCCATTTATTCTCTCCTCCCAGTTGAGTCCCAGTTGATCGGCTGAGTCTTCTTTTGTTGCCCTGCAAGGGAGAACGGAGCTGGAAAGCAGGTTAGTGGGGTGGGGAGGGAATGGAATTTTGCAGTAACCTTCCCTCAGGAGTGGGGAAGGAATGGAGATTTTGCAGCATCCTTCCCCTGCCACGCCACCAAGCCACACCATGCCCACCAAGCCACAGAACCTGTAGTAAAAATTTTTGAATCCTACTGCTGCTTTAAATTTATTGGATAGTAAAACGATGTAAAAAGTAAGGCTCCTTCCAAAATACTGTTGGAGTCAATTATGCATCCTTTAAAATATACCATTTGTTTGAAGGGGGTGTGTCTGTAAGTTTATACAGTAATGAATGGGTTAGTTTGTAAGCTGCCACAATATAGTTATGGTTTTTGTTTATTATATTTGAATATTGTTTTTCTCCCTGTGCAATAAATTAAATGATATTTTTAAATTGTTTGAACATCAGATTTTAAACAGAACTAAACTAAAGGCTGTCTGGTAAATTGTTAACTGAGCAGTTCGACTTATACTTCTCTTTTCAAAATATTCTTTTATACAGTATGGATCTTTTTAAAGTTCTGGCACAGCTGTTCTTTTTGTCAAAGGATACTATATGCAAGATCAATTGCGACTCTGGGAAGTTGGGAACAATATTTTCTCTGACCAATGGAGGAATGGTGTGGTAGAGGCCAATAGCATAGGGTAAAGGTTTATTTCGTCTCTTTTGGAAAGCAAGCTTTTCCCCACCTGAAAACTTGTCAAGTCGTTTGTAGTTTACTATGTGAAATCTAAGCACGATGCTGTGCTTCACTTGAAAACAAATGGATTCGACCCCCACCCCATATCCCCAACCCTGAATTTATTTTAGATAATTCTATTCAGGACGTACCCTTGGCCTTTAAATAGAAAAGGGAACACCAAGTCCTGTTACAGAGTAAGACCACGGGAGGCGTTTTATGTTTAATTCTGTACAGCTAGACTTTTGGTGGTTGAGTTGGCATCTCTTCAGAACAGGAAAATACGTACAACGTTCGGCTTTTGGATCGGGTGACTTCAGAGTTTCCCCTTCTCTACATGTGTGTTGCGTGTGCGTGTATAACATTTATCTCTACGAAGAGAGCTTCCGGTTTCTACATGCAAGGCAGAGAGAGTCGCTTTTTTTTTGCCGCCTGCTTTAAAGAAGCGTCCTTTCAGCCCGGCTTTATGCGTCGGCTCCCCTTCGGAGGGCGAGCGACACCAGCCGCTTGCAGAGCGAGGAGAAGGAGGAGGGGCTTGAGCAGGCCCGATTTCTTTCCCTATCCTGTTCGGTGGGCTGGAAGGGAGGGGAGGGGGACCTTGGGTCCGTCCCCTCAAGGAGGGCTGCTATTGGCCGTAGTGGATGCCAGTCGACGCTTCCTGCCTGCGCCGGGAGCCGAAAAGAGAGGTTGCAAGAAAGAGGAAGCGGTAAAGCTGAGCCGAGCCGAGAGGAGGGAAGAGGTGCAGGGCGCGGTCCCTGTCATTGATCCGGGCTACTTCCTTCAATGTTCCCTCTCTTCCTTCCCTCTTAGGGCGGATTGGCCCTCGCTTGTTTCCCCTTGTCTATGCGAAAGACCGAGCCGGAAGTCGGGCAGAAAGGGCGGCGCGGACGAGAGGCAAAGCTAAACCGGGCGTTCCCGGAGAAGGGCTTCTTCGAGGGCGGGAGGGAGAGAGCGAGGGAGCGCCTTTTCCTCTTCGTGGCCATCCGAGAGCGACCCCAGCATGGAAGCTGTCGCCAAATACGACTTCAAAGCCACCGCGGACGATGAGCTCAGTTTCAAACGGGGAGATATTCTGAAGGTAAGTGGAGGGTAGGCAGGGTAGGCGGTGCACAAAGAAGCCGAGGTTGCCCTCTTCAGGCTTTCTCCGAAATGGGTTTGGTCTCCAGAAACTCCGTCACATCGCTCCCGAGACCTTTGCCTGGCAATCGCGCTCCCCGCCTCCTTCCCACACGTTGAATTTGGCTTTGTTCAAGTTGATGGGATAGAAATTGCCTTTCAGGTTGTGGGCTGGCACTGTTTTCCGCGTCAAGGTCGGGGGCGGTGGGTGGTCGAGCTGCGCTAACCTTCATATATATATATATACATACACATACATGCCGCTTGGCTGTGTGATATTGCAGGTTTGGGTAGTTGTCAGTTATTTCCTTCCCATTTTAACTGTCTGTTTCCTCTTTGGTTAGTGTCAGATTCCCTGCTAGTAAGCGAGAAAGAGTTGTAATGCTTCAGGGAGGGCGAAGAACAGCAGTTTTACTTCGTACTTGCTATCAGGGCTGCTTGGAAATATTCTGCTGCCACCGCTCTCTGCTATTCATATCCTTCTGGCGACATGGTTTTTGTTAAACTGTGGTTTTTTTATATGTATGTGCATCTATCAACTGGAGGTAACATGAATGCGTCTTGGAAAGAAAGCTTTGTGGGTGGACTTCAACTCCCAGAATTCCCCAGCAAGGCTTGTTATCTAGTTAAGGATTCTGAGAATTGAAGGCCTCTGGGAAGTTGCCATAAAAAACACTGCCACAGTTCAGTGTCCTGTACGACTTTACTGCTCCTTTTACTAATAATACACCCCATGAACACATTGCAGCTTTCCTTATATTTTTCTTATTCTATTTCCTTAGAATTACTGAGGAAAGAAGGGATCTTGGAGATCTTTATTTTTTAAAAAAGCCACTCTTTTTCTTTTCTGTGTTTCCTCTCAAAGATAATCAGAATCTGCTTGTAAGTTCAGTTAATATAGAAGAAAATGAATACATGATTTCATGTACAAACTTCATCTATTTGAAGTCTTTATTTTGTTAAGCTTCTAATAACACAATGATAGTTGTTGAGCTCCCAGATACATTTATAATATAGTACGTTTAACCTTTTCTGGAATATAGTTCATAATTTTTATAAGTATATTAAAAGTTTTGGAACAGTTTGTAGTTAACAAAATACAACTATTTCATTATGCAGCAGGACAATAATTTCAATTTAAAAATGTGTACTCTGTCTAGAGGCTACATGGTGACTAAAATAAATGGATATGTATTTAAAAAGTTAAATCAGGCATGCTTAAGCTCTAGGATGGGGGGTTTATAATGTCAAACTATAAATGTCTTTGGTCCTCCTTTGTATTAACAAAAGATAAAATTGAGATGCCATATTTGGGGAGCCAAAGAAGAGGCTGGGGGGCTTAAAGAAATCAGATTAGTCTTATTTTTTCTGTGTTCATATTAGATTGAATTATAAATATTAATGTGAATAGTTTAGTCACTAATTATATTTGGAACTTCCTTATTTGTTTTTACCAATGACATTTATTAATATCTGATCCAGACATTAAGACTCAATGGTTTTCAATGTTAATAATGTGGTACATCTAATTCAGGTGAGGTGGGGAAGGAAAACTAATATTCATAGATTCCTTCCAATGTGGTTAACATTTAGTCAGGGAATCAAATCATAGGGAACCCCCCCTCCCCCACTGTGCCTTGAAGAATGGTATTCCTTTCAAGTTCCTATTTAAAATCCTTGCCTGCAACGTTGAATATAGCAGCACAGTTGTTGAACCTTTTTTTAAAGAATATGCATTGAAGCCTTACTTCATCTCATATTGCATTGCTTCCTTGGTTTCATCCAACACTTGGATCCAAAAATAGGTATACTTATTTCCTATTAGAATTAATATCTGACAATTTAATAATTTTGGCTGGGTCCCACACATCATTATGCTCCACAGTTCTTGTTAGGTAATTAATATACTTAATGTAAATTAATGAACCTTTCTTTTTTCAAATCAGGATTTAGGCAAGAGGTTTGGAATCTAGCAAGAAATTACGTATCTTGTGATACTGTTCTCCACTCTATCAGTCTTTTATTAAACATGTCTTAGAATTGACAATGATGCATTCCATTTAATTCTTGTGCATATGAAATGATTTCCAAGTAAATATATTTAGATTTTGGTATTTATTACATGTATTTTAATATTAAGTATGTTGTACTTTTTTACCAACCTATTGTCTTTTTACTTTTTTCTATTAACTAATAAAATATATATAAAACATTGGAATTATAAAGAGAAGGACATGTCATAGAAGTTAATATGTTTAGATTTGCAATCTTGCTAAATTATTTCTTCATTTCTTATATAGACACACTGAAGAATATTGATGAACATATATAGATAGTCCTCAACTTACAACAGTTCATTTAGTAACTATTCGAAGTTAAAATGGCATTGAAAAAAGTGACATGACACTTACGACCATTGCAGCATCCCCATGGTCACACGGTTTACATTTGGATGCTTGACAACTGGTTCATATTTATGACGGTTGCAGTGTCCTGGAGTCATGTGATCATCGGCTGCAAACTTCTGACAAGCAAAAGTCTGTGGGGAGGGCAGATTCACTTAACAACAGTGTTATTAATTTAACAACTGTAGTGATTCGCTTAACAAATGTGGCAAGAAAAGTTGTAAAATGGGGCAAAACTCAATACATTTCTCATTTAACATAAATTCTGGGCTCAATTGTGGTCATAAGTTGAGGACTATCTGTATTAACCATATTCACATTATTTTAACTATAACGTGTCATTCTCAGTATGTTTTCAAAATGGTATTTTCAAAAGGAATAGGTTTGTATTGCTCTTCAACACTTGAATGATTAGAAATGTCCTTCCATAGATTTGGGGAAGAAAACAAAATGCATTTTCTTAGACAGATTTTCAGTAAGCCATCTTTAAAAATGTTATTTGCAGGAAATGCACATATTCAGTTCTTGGCTGTTACTTGAATTGCAACTGTTACCTACCTTGTGGTTATGTTCTAAAAGCAAATGAACTTTTGGTTGAAAATTGTGTAAATGTGTTCAGCTCTGTTTGTATGTGTGAGATTATAGTATGATCAGTTTTGCTTCTCACTTTGAAAATAAGGAAATGTGTCTATTTTCAATCAACTGTCACGATATAGTGCTATCTGGCAAAGAAAACATTTTTAAAAATTTTTGCCTTACAAAATGTTAGAAACTATTTTTGTATTGTTCAGATGGCATGTTTTATATTTCTCCCAAGCGACATTAAACTAGGCATGTTGTTTTACATAATTTGTTGCATTTATGAACAACGTCTGCCAACTAGGCAAATAGGTCAATACATAATAAAATCAAGAAAAGAGGAAAAATAATTATACCATATAATTTGAGAACAGCCTTAAAATGAGAAAGTGACAAAAATCATATATTAAAAGCCAGAGAGTAGGAGCTCGGAACAAAACATCCTGTGTTTGTCTTATGTGGGACCTCGAAACTAGTAATTGTTCCTGTTTTTGTCCTTAGGCCACAAAATATATAACCAGCATGTTAAATTGAACAAAGGAACTGATGATCAATACTGTAAGAATAAAGAAATGTACTTTTGATTTATAAGAAGATGGGCTGCAACATTTTGTCATATCTAAAACCTCAAGTATGTTCTGGATCATTTTCAAGACCCTACAATGCATGGAATGTGGGTTGTGGATCATAACCTCTGTCTGCCTTTAGAAGAGAAGGCAAGATACTTATTGGATGACATGCTCCTAGTTCCCTCCTTTAAATATTGCCACCTTATGGGAGCTAGAAAGCATGTCTTTTCCATGTCTTTTCCCTGCCCTATGGAACACTCTTGCTTCTACCCTCCTAGCCTTCCAAATAGCAGTGAAAGTTTGGTTTTTCCCCTCAGCTCTGAGATAGGAGGAGGTGACTGTGTTGGAAACATTACATGGTGCTAGGTTTTTATTCTTAATGTTTATGGTTTTAGTAGTTTTAATATGGTTTTTATATTGTTTCATTAGTGATGTTTTAATTCTTGACTGATAGCTGTCCAGAGTTTGATATAAGATGGACAGCTATATAAATATTTCAAATAATAAATATATTTTTGCAAGATTTTTAATGTTAGCATTTTAACTTTATAATGTTTCATTCAGTGGTCTGTAAATGTTAACCTCTCTTCAATATTCTTTTGAATAGAAAACAGGATGTCAATTAAAAATAATTTAAAAAAAATTGATGTGTTAATATTATGCATAGAGTTCTGAGTTCCTAAGAAATGGTGAAACCTCCAAAATAGATATAAAAAACATTCATGACAACTTGTATCTGCAGATATAACGTTCAATGTAGGAATTGAAAACTAGAAATATACTGCTTTAATACTTGCAGATAAATACATCCATTTTAAAATGTGAAGTTCATTTCCTGTATATCTTGGATATTGTTGTATTTTAGAGGTGTTTGTTGGGTCAATTTTTAACCATGTTGTCTGATTAATTTATAACTTGTATGTAGAATATTTTTCATAATACTTCTTTGGTATTTTAGCTTCTGTAGGCTGCAATTGAGAAGGCCAATAGGCTACCCGGTATTATTGCTTAAAACCTAATGTGCTTCTGGCAAATAAATTCTTACTCTGTTGGGATCTCTGCCAGCTGGCAACTGTTCAGATATAAAGTGCATCGATACTGCTTATGATTTGGCACATGGTGGAGAAAGGATAGATGTCCATATTTCCCCTGGTTAATAATGAAATGAAGTCCATCCTTTATCTTGATTTAATATACTGTAGCACATCATAAGAATAGGCAACAGCTTATTTTCTAGGGATAGATGCCCTGTATTTTTACTACTTAGACAATATCAGTAGAGATATAAAACATTGTGTAAAGTGCTTACTACGCTGCTAAAATTAGAGTGTTGAAAATGCATGATTACTATGTTGACAAACCTGAGCAATAAGATGTATTGTCATCTAACTGAAGATATGTTGCTTAAA